GGCCATCCATCTATGAGAAGGACACTCTAAACAAACCTACGTCCTGAGGACCTCACTGCCATTGTCCAAGCTTGCTTGGCCCCGGCAGATGAACCTTAGGATTAAGGGTGGGCTCAGTTCAGCGCAGGCTGTGTCTCACCTAAAAAATCCATTGCGCAGGCTGGAAAGGTAAAAAGACCTTTCCCCAAATCTTCGTTCGCGAAGATGGGCCATTATATATATATATATATAGTGTCATGAGCCATGCCTCGAGCCTCCAGCCTCTCCCTGGGCCTGCGTAGAGCTTCTGAGTCTGGCCTGGTTCCTCCCTTTCAAGATTGGCAGAGGGGGGGATGGGCCCAATTGCCCATCAGAGATGTAAGGCAAAAGTCAAAAGCCTGCAAACTCCTGGAATGCATAAATCATTAACCATTTCAGTCTCTGACAGTCTGTTGTTGAAATAATATAAAGAATAGCTTTTTCTTTTATATTAAACAGGTTAGTTACTTAACATTTCCTCACTTCCCTCAGTAAAATGAGCTGTTAGAAGTTGAAAGGTGACATTAGTAGTTATTAGTATGTTGTATGTATACACTGCTTTTAATGACAAAATACTTGATAGGTAGTATCCACTTCAGAATCTGGCCAAAGTAATACTTTCTTCTCAAGTTTAAGACTGTCAAAAAAGAAAAAGCAAGCTTTTTTTCCATTTTTCTGTATGCCAGTTCTATGCTGCATGTAAAGGATTATTCAAATGACTTACAGCAAAAACTTCATGTTTACGTATTTTAACAGAGAGTGTTCATATTTGTATGTTTCTTATGCTTCTTGCTTGTCACTGTCTGCAGCTCTTAATAACTTAGCATATGATTGTTATCAGATGGGTGTTCAACCTCTGTTCTTTTTTTCATTATTCTGCATTTTTCTTGATTTTATTTTTTCTTTCTAGTGAGAAACAAGTACTTGTACAAGGTACAAAGTACTAGAAAGTTATCAGTTGCAGTATTGTTCTTATTCTTTGTACCTCCTTGTATGAATGTTGTGAAATTCTTCTCTCTGCTTATGGGTATTTGTATATTTGTAGCATAGAGATTATTTGTTGTGACTATCTCAGGCATTCATACTTTTCAAAATAGTCTTAAGAGCATACTGTAAAGTGCCAGTAAGAGATGACTCTTTGAGATGGCAAAGAGACAGATTTTGTTCTGTGTAATGAAGCAAGACAAATGATTCTGTGGGTGAATCATGCTTCAGCATTTCTAGAATAGATTTTTAGTAAAGTAATATTATCCAACAAATGAAAATTATGTACTGTAATATACAGACACTTGTACTTCTCTTCTGAATCACTTTTGTGCAGAGAAAATTCTGTGTTGCCTAAATACTACTAGTATACACTCACCCTGCCCTTCACTGAGATAGAAGAAATGTAGTGTAACATTGAAATATGTTTAATCTATAAAGTCACTCCAGGTTTAAAGAAGAGCAGCTCTAAATAATTCTAGAATTTCATGGCTGTTCATGTGATAAGTGGAACACGAGGTGGCACTGAAATAAAGTTGTATATAAATGCCTGGATTCCAGAAGTATTGCTTTCATTGTCGGCCATCGTAGGTGAACTCTGACTCCAGACTGGGGAGTGCAAAGCTGAACAGGTAGATACTCCTTAGTTCTCAAATAAATTCTATTGTGTAGGAAATAATGCAAAGAAAACTGTAATGTAAGACTATATAGAAGAGGAATGTAATTTTTTTGTTGCTTAATTTTTTATGTTGGTAAAGGGTGCCAGCTCAGAATCTCATAGCCACAAACATACAAATACTAATTCAGGTTCAAATAGTCTGAACAGGATTGCTGGCATGTCATAGGGTAACTGATGTCACCTGATGAGATCTCTCCTATTTTTGTGTTGATCGGCAATGATGAAATGGTGTTTTGCCTAGGTATTTTACACTTTGTAGGAGCGAGAAGTTGATACGGTGTGATATTTTAACATGAAATCATGGTGGGTTCAGTCTACGGGAACATTAGGCAAATACCCTTTTTGTTTACTTATTACGGCTATCCTATTTTACTCTGCCCGTTCGAATAACAGAAAGAGAAATGGCATACAGAGTGCATGATGAACTGATTGCCATTCTGCTATCAGAATGCTGCTGACTCATCATCTGTACAGTGATCTTAACATTGAAATCCCCTTCTTCTGTACTGATCTGTTTTGCTGATGTCATTCATGTTCCCTCACTATTGATGCTTTAAGCTTGCTCTCATTATGTCTGGTACTCTCACATTTGCATGGTTCTCATTGTATTATTCTAAATTCTAATTTTGTCATCAGTCTTCACAGATGAGAAACAAATTAAGCCAGTTCAGTGCTTTTCAAAATGGCAGCATCAGTATCAGTGGAGTTACAATGATGTGCTTTTATTTTCCTCATTCTGACATGTAGGGATTTATCTACTTCAGTGATAGGGTTTGAGTCTCACAAACAAAAATTATGATATAACCATATAGTAACATCATGTTTGCATAAGTCTTGGTTCCATGAGGCTAAATTCATAGGCACTTCAGATATAATAGGAAAATACTGTGAAGTCTATGGTATTGCAGTTTTTACTTATCTTTTTTTTCTATGTCTTGACCCTACCTTTTCACCTACTACAAACTTTTTATACATTTGTTTTGACTTTCCATCCAGTGAAAGTTTGAGATCTGTACTTAATGTTATTTGAATAAGTGCAGGTAGTGGTTGAGAATAAATGAAAATAAACACATAGTTAGTCAGCCTTTTTATACCTACACAAGAGGAATTTGAAAATGGCAGTTTACAACATTTTTAATTAAAAAAATGAAAACTACAAATACAATTCCTCAGTCAGAGAAAAATGCACATCTTGTTCCCAGCGTAGCATCTGTGTAGACATTTGAAAACCCTAAGTAGCCGGGTAATCTCTTAACAGTGTGGAGGACTTATAACAAAGATTCCTGTCTGTTGTGGAGATAATTAAAATGCCCCGCTGTTTTAATTTCCTGTTAAAAGGGAGACTAGCAAAGGGACATAGAACAGTTCAACTAGTGCAAGATTCAGCAGGCAGTATTATCTCTTTAGAAATTTTTCTTAAGCATATATATTGTTTCTTTGGACAATAAAACCACTTCTACTCCCAAATCCCATGTTTACCTATGTAAAAAAAAAACTTGTTAACTTTTCTGCTTCAACAGTTAGGTTGGTTGACATAAATCAATTCTACTTTGTTCTAACCTATTGCAAATAGTTAATTGCTAGCACAAATAATCTCTCTAACTATGGAAGTTTACATATCTTAAAAATACAAATGTGTAATGAAAAGGAGCCACTTGAATGTGAGTTGCTCATAAGATAATTTTTCATAGTTGTGAATTAATGAGATTTGGCGAAGAGGGTTTCTAGGAAATGTATAGTAACAGAGTGAAAGAACTGAATCTTCAGCCTCTGCACTGTACTATACATCAAGCCTCTGCTTCCTGTCAAAAAGACTCCATGTATGCTTTTGAGCATTGATGGCTATTTCACTTAAAATAGGTGTAATTACTGACTGTCATGTAGTCACTTTCACTGGGGTCAATAATGATGGTAGTTCATTACGCGGTATCTTCAATGTTGCATTGCTATATGCTTTATATATGGCTTTTTTTGGTTGTATATTTGTTACAATCGCTGGAGTACTATCTGCTAGCAAAGGAGATGTGATCTCTTTTCATTCCCATTGAAAAAGTGGAAAATTGACATTAACTTCCAAAGGTCTTAAATAATTATCTGTCAAGTCCTTGCTCTCTCATTTTAAACTCTAGATATGGATCTAGTATTGCACCCTTTTTCACTACTCCACTTGGCTTTTTGAAGAGCCTTATTTTGGCACGTCCTGTTCTGCCTGAGGATTAGTTTTCCTCTTGGATGTGTCAAAATGACTCCTTTGTTGCTCCAGAATGTGGAAAGAGTCTGAAGTGGGATTTTATTGGAGTTTTTTTGTGGAAGTGGTTTTGGTTTAGATTGGGTTTTTGAGTTTGGTTTTTTGTTTTTGGGTTTGGGTTGGGATTTTGGGGGGGATTTTTTTGTTTTTCAATTTTGAGAGGATTTTGTTCTTTTAATTTGATCCTAATCTCAGTCTGACTGGATAGTCTGACTGGTTTATGGTCTACATAATATTTTTTTTCTGTTTAAGTCAGTATTATGACATTAGATGCAATTTTACACACACACACACTCCTTTACCATAATTTCATTTCAATGTTTGTGCAATATGCTTTCTCTATGGACCATCTAGCAACCTTTATTTGTTCTAAGTAATTTGTTTACGCCTGTTTAGCTTGGAAGTGTGAGCCTAAACAGGAAGTTAATGAAAAGTATTGTTACAGATAATTCTGAATAGCTTTTCTGGAGGTTAAAAGTGCACTGGTAAAATTGCTGTGGGGATAAAACTGGTTAGGTGCTCTTTAAACAATAATAGTGCTTTGTTTGGATTTAAGTGTATGATCAAATTTTGAGCAGTTTCATACTTCCTTTTAGAATTTCTTTGGTTTTACTGAAATTGCCATGAATAAGATAAAGATTAGTCAAGGTCTTAGATGGGCTGTTTCCTCCCTCAGTTGTAGCATCATTCATTCTACCAAAGAAACAAGAACATCTGCAACTCAGATTTCCTGGTGTTTTGGAGAGGTAATAATTGTCATGACGTTAGAAAATCTGTTCCAAAAGTATTTTATCATTAAAGTGTTGCCTTTTTTTTCCCCCTTCTTGCTTTCTCTACACGCTTCTCCTCAATAGCATTTATCAACTACATCTAAAGTAAATGAACAAGATAAATCACTCTAACAGATTTTCATCTTAAGTGTGTTTAAAAATGTTGTTTCTAAAGGCAGCCTCACCAGGCAAGTTATTTCCCATTGAATTCTTTTCAATAACAAAAATCTTAGGCCCTCCTTACCAAATAAGTAGCATGTGAATCCATGCCAGAATGCAGAGCAGTGTCAATAAGCTGGAGATGCTATTTCTAAATATTATTTTTTAGATATGAGAAGAGCCTTTCTGACATGAAGTGATAATAAATAAGAAAGAAGATTCAGAAGCAGAAAAAAAAGGCTGAAAGTTGGAGTATAAAATAGAGGCACAATAGCTATAGCTCAATTGAATAACAATTTTCCTTTAGGTAGGAATTACAGATAGATTGCAGCTAAAAATATAGGGAAAGGTTTTCAGGAATTCATAATGCTTTTTGCTTGGAGGAAAAGCAAAGAAAACATTTTCTACTGAGTATGTATCTTGTGTATGTATTTTCAGTAACCGTGTGGAAGCTTGGACTAGGGATGTTCACTTCCTGCTCCGGCAAGAAGGGAGACCCATGGTAAATCTTACAGGTGATAGGAAGCGGGTTAGAGTGATGGAAGCAGATTGGCGGAATACTGATAAAGCAGTAAACTGGATAAAGGAAGAAGCTGTTAACCTTGCTCAACCATTTGTTCTTTACTTGGGACTAAATTTACCACACCCATACCCATCACCCTATGCAGGAGAAAATTTTGGATCCTCTACATTTTTAACATCTCCCTATTGGCTTGAAAAGGTATGTGAAGATGAAATTTCAGTATGAATCTACTAATAACTGTACTTTTTACATACAGTATTTTATTCCTGATTTTTCAAGCCATACCCAGTTTTCATATTTCAGTATACAGTAAGAAAGAGGTGTTAGATTTCTGATTTAAGGCTAAGCAAATAGAAGTGAGAAATTCCTCTCTGTTGTAGGAAAGGGTTTGTAGCAGTAGTCACTGAATCAATAAAGAAGTTTGGAGTTGAATGGCCAGAAATGTAAAAAGAACAAAATTATAGCTGTCAATTATTTTCAGTTAGTGGTCTGAAGTTCATTGTTATGAATATTCTGTATTCTGCTTGTTATAAATGATGTTATAGGTAACCATTTTGTCTGAGTTTTACGGTGAAAGATTGACTTTTCCTGCAGTATGAACCTAGACCATGAAGCAAAATAAGACACAACAGAAGTCTTTCTTTTTTGTTAACTTTTCCTGTACTACTGTAGATTTGCAATGGTTTTAGAGCACAAAAAAAGTCCCATTATGTCTGTATGTGTAAAGCTAACAAGTACCACTCCATTTCAAAGAAGAAATACTTTTTCTTCTGTTTTGTATGGTCTCCAGTTGCCATTATCTGCCATAAAATATGAATGTATTACAACAGATTTCATTGCAGAAAGGCATGAAATATTCTCTGCAGCTGAAGCATTAGAATTAGGTTAGAGAAGACTTTATACCTCAGAAAAACCCTCCATATGCAGTGTGTATAATTTGTGGCCTTCTCTAGTGGAGAACTGCTAAATATCTAGGTGCACCAAAAATACAAATACTTACAAAAAAGATATACAAATGAAGGTTGTATTTCTTTGAATTTCTTTGTAATAGTGAGGGTTGTGGTTCTTTTGGGAATGGTGAAAAGTTTGTGGGGAGAGGAAGAACATGGGGAAAAAACCCTTCATTTACAAAAACAAGATCTAGCTTAGTTATTAAGGAAAACTTGCTCGGTGCTAATTGCTAGGTTAGATGTGTCTTGGGAAGGGGGGGTACCATTTTCAAGTCACAGACAGGTTATAACATCTCTGACAAATTTTTGTGTCATCCTTAATCCAGTTAGAGTACTTAAACTCCGTAGTTTGCTGAGGTCCTTTGCACAACTACATATACATAGTGTGTTGTGTGAACTACATATTACCATTTATTGAACATTAGCAGGTTCTTCTGGGATGTAGCTGTGTTTTGGTCATGAAGAAGCAGTCTTTGAAAATCACAGAGATAATCTCATGAAGAAGTTTGATTGCATAGATGAAGAACTGAATTAAATGTCCTGTTTACTGGGGCTCTAATACAGAACAGGGTATCAACATGCTGTGTTTGTGAAACTCTGTGTTGTTAAGCAGATGGTCCCCTGTATTTTGCACAAGCTGTCACTTTTTCAGGACATCTGGCTTCTTTCCTAGCTATGAATTACTATATACAGACAAAGGAGTTATGACTTTGTGTATCCAGGTTGTAGTTCTGTAGAAAAGAATCATGGATAGAGAGGGACACTTTTTGCTCCCATTATATCTTAAGAAGCTAATAAATACAATTTGAGAAGTCTAAAATGTAACTTTATGTAGCCAAGTACCTTAAGCAGTAGGAAGATGACTGCAGCAGGTGTCTGCATGATTCCTTCTAGCAGCCTATTTTCTGTAGAGCCTAAGGAAACTTAGATTTTGGTGTGTTTGTTTGAGTATTACAAAGCCAGGTTTTATGCCTCTGGGCGCTTTAACTCTTGCAGTCTTACCAACTTGTTTAGCTGTCAGTCTGTTCCTCCAAGTAACAAGTGATAGGATGAGAGGAAATGGCCTCGAATTGCACCAGGGACCATTTAGATTGGATATTAGGAAAAACTTCTTCACCAAAATACTTGGCAAGCACTAGAACAGGCTACCCAAGGTAGTGGTGGATTCACCATCCCTGAAGGGATTTGAAAGACACGTAGATGTGACACTTGGGGACACAGTTTAGGTGGTGGGCTTGGCAGTAGTGGGTTAATGGTTGGGCTTGATGATCTTAGAGGTCTTGTCCAACCTTGATGATTCTATGATTCTATGACTTAATACATCTGCTAGATATTAAGAGAGAATATTGACATTGTGGGAGGTGGAATGTTGTGGGTATTGGAACACACGGCCAAGTATGGATAATGAAGAGCTGCCTGGGGAGCTTGTAGCACAGTGCCTGTCTCTTGAGCCTCTGGTATATCTTTGACCATATGTTAATGTCCTTGTGTTCCAATACCCACAACATGGAATTGATACTCCAAGTAAACAGGAATGTAATGTTTCCAGGGACAACTTTGATCTGATTGCTTTTGTGCTCTATGGAGCCTCTTGGACAGTATCTCAGTTATTTTATCAGGAACCAGTGTTACCCATGTTTGGGGCCAGCCAAGTTGTGGAGCTGTGACTGCAGCCCCAGGAATGTCCTCCACAGACACTGGAGTTGCTGTGCCATAGTCTAGTCCTCAGATCTGTTTGTTAAAGATTTTCAGAGGTAAACAAAGGCAACGGGTGTGGGTTTAGTTTTTAATAAATTTAAGTTTTCCATACTAAGATTACATCTTCTCTGCTTTTGTGGTAATTTGTGCTTTAAGTCTACTATATAGAAATTATTAACTGTTAAATGCAGCACTTACATAAGGGAATGCTTATAAGTATGACAGCCTAGGCTAAATGTATATGTCAAACTTGGAGGCTCTAAATCTAGTCCTGCAGCACACAATATCTGTGAGTATGCCAGTTTGAATATACATATCCATCACTTCTTGAAATTTATTGGCTTCTTAGTTTCACACTGATCTTGCATTTCTTTATAACTAAATGGATTGACATGTGTAGAAACAAGTAGAAAAGTATTAGAAAATTGGATTAATATAGTAAATTCTTTTTGTCAAGATATCAAGAGTTGTCATCACTGTCCTGGAGACTTTCCCAGACTGCACGAATTTCCGTGTTGTCCCGCATAACACCCAATCTTTTTGTTACATGAGATTTATAGTTGTCATACAGTATATGAAGACGCTATGCCAATACTTCTGTACTTACTAGGGAGTACAGTTCTAGAAGACTGTTCTGTGCTGTCTCTCTTAAAATAATACAACAGCTGGTAAAGCACACATTTCTGGCTCCTAGCCTTAGTTTCTAGATGATTTTTTAAAATTACTTGCTACCTGTGGAAGCTGCGGGGAAGTACAGACAAGGTAGCAGCACCACGTAACAGATAAGCAGGTGGTGTTTCCTGGACCGTAAACTGAGAACTGTGCATTTATGTGAAAAGGTTTTTAATTAAATCTGTGTTAAAAAAATGTGTTTTATTCAGTTGCTAAAGTGATGGTTATTTCCTCTTATTTTTAGGTAACCTATGAAGCTATTAAAATACCCAAGTGGTCTTCTCTCTCTGAGATGCATCCAGTAGACTATTACTCATCGTACACCAAGAATTGCACAGGAGAGTTTACAGAGGAAGAAGTGAAAAATATTAGAGCATTTTATTATGCTATGTGTGCAGAAACAGATGCCATGCTGGGTAGGTAATATTTCATTATACAGTTTTCTAGTTTTGCTTTTTCAAGGAAAATGCTGATAGGGCTGATCTTTGGGAAAAATAGAAAACAAACCACCTCAATTCAGACCTGGGAGTAAGTCATGTGGATGTTGCTTAATCAGTCTATATGACAAATAATGGGATAGCTTATAAGGTTCTTGCAAGGTGAATTCAGTGCACTCTGAAAAGTAATCACAACCACAAGTCAGAGGCTCTGTTGAAAACCAGCAGCAAAACATTGCATGATCCATGTACAAGAGGAACTAAATGCTCTTTGATTAAATGCTAACTGAAATAATGGAAATATTTTTGTGGAGGAGACAGGCTGACAAAGCAGAGCTGGAAGGAAAGATAATTTTAGTGCATAAGTAGTTCTTCTTAGAGATTGATTTCAAATGCGTAGACTGGATAACAGCTGTTACACATAGACTAAACAATAAGGTTACATTTGGAGTGTCCCTTAGCAACATATTATTGACAGTTAAGAAATAATTCATTGGACTTTCAGAATTCTTCCTAGTTTGCTGTAAGGTCTACATATACAAAAATGACAATGCAAATTGGTCTTAATTTATTTTATTTCTGAATTTGAAAAGTGACCATGAATGAACAAGAATTTGCTTGCCTACTAGTATGAAATGCATGAATAAATAAGCTGATCTTTTAGACATGTTAGGCTGATAAATTGAATTAAAAGACACAGTATTGCTCTTCCTCGTTTTATGAATGAAAAGAGATCAGTGGAAGCCTGACCGTTTTAGGGAATGAAGGTATTGCAAGCTGGGGTGTTCATGTTGTAATGTATTTTGACCAGTTTTTTTAAGAAAGAATCATTCTAGTGTTTTAATATTTAAGATGCATAAGTGCTTTGCTTAATTACCGACTTCATTGATCTTTGCCCTGTCTTTGTTGCACAAATGTATATGCAAAAGGAGAGGAGTGTATATCATATCTCCATTGCACAAATATATGAGCAAAAAGAGAGGAGATTTCAGCCCTCTGACTGGGAGGATTCATAGAGGTTTGCATGCTGCTTTGCAGCTACAGAAGTTGGAAGAAGTATTTTCAATGTATCCTTTTCTGTACCTTTTTGTTGTTGCAGGTGAGATTATTTCAGCTCTGGGGGATACAGGGCTTCTTAGAAAAACAGTCGTTATATTCACTGCAGACCATGGAGAACTTGCTATGGAACATCGTCAGTTCTACAAAATGAGCATGTATGAAGGAAGTTCCCATGTTCCTCTTTTAGTTATGGGACCAGGTGTAAAAGAACAGCAGGAAATACCAAATGTAGTATCTCTTGTGGATATATATCCTACTATGCTTGGTGAGTTAAGTAATTTCAAATGAAATTTTTTTCCCCAGTTACCATTATTATGCATTTGTATTATAGTCAGAATTATGCCTCCTCAGATGCATTTTAGATATGTATAATCCTTGCTAGCCTTCATACCTAACAGTTTACTATAGAAACTACAGTGTAAATGCATCCAGGGATGAGATTAAACCTGAAAGGATGGCAGGTTCATTAGCTTATCAAAGGAATGTCTTTTATGAAGAGCGTGTGGAAGAACAATAGACTTTGTATAAGAAATATACAATTGATCTGGGCAAGGAAATAAGATATAATAATGGATATCCATTCTTACCTTATTAGATATGAAAGTATTTAGTATGGGACAAAGACTCAAATAAAAAGAACTGACATTAAATTACTTGGATGGAAATTACTTTTAAGAATGAAGTTTTAAACAGTTGTCTGTGATAACTCATGCAAGAGATGACTCTCATTGAAACTAAACATCAGGTGAAGTTGCCGTTTGAGACTTTATCTGTGATCTTTTAGGCTACCAATCAGAAAAGCGTTTTTTTCAAGCCAGTCTGCAAAGCTTTCTCTCTAAGATGTGTCATGTGCACACTGCAGTTGGCTGAGAGAACGTGGGGCAGTAGATAAAACTGTACTTCTAGCAGTGAATGTCAGGAAAAAATCCTGTTATCCAGTTGAAAATAGGATATAAAATCTGAGTGGCTTTTTCTTTCAAATTTGGTATCAAATCCTCTGAAGAATCCTTAGGGTTCTCCTTCAAGAACAAGGACTGGTTTGATGAAAACAATCAAGAGATCAAGGCATTGTTGAGGAAGAAGAGAACTGCTCACCAAGCACACCTTGCTCAGCCATCTTGTTATGTAAGAAAAGCAGCCTTTTGTCTTGCATGCAGCAAGCTCCAACAGAAACTTCGTGACATCCAGAACAAGTGGTGGATCAGTCTAGCTGAAAAAACTCAATTATGTGCTGATACGGGTGATTACAGAGGATTCTATGAGGCCTTGAAAAAGCATACAGGCCTACATACCAGGTCCAAAGCCCTCTACTCAGCGCAGATGGTCAGGTGCTTCTGACAGATAAATCCTCCATTCTGAATCGTTGGTCTGAACACTTTCAGACTCTTTTCAGTATTAGCCATGTAGTTCAAGACTCAGCAATTCAGTGCATTACACAGCAACCGGTGAAGAATGAATTGGATATTCGCCCTACTATGGGAGAAACTCTTAAGGCCATACAGCAGGTGAAAACTGGCAAGACAGCTGGGGTTGAAGCCTGGAAGCATGGGGGCCAAGCACTCCATGCTAAATTTCACGAGTTTGTGGTGCGCTGTTGGGAACTAGACGAACTACCATAAGACCTTCGTGATGCAGTCATCATCACCTTGTATAAGAAGAAAGGAGTTAAATCAGACTGTTCAAATTACTGTGGTATTACTCTGCTCTCCATTGCTGGCAAAATCCTTGCAAGAATACTTTTGAACAGACTAATACCCGCTATAGCACAAGGAATTCTGCCTGAAAGCCAATATGGTTTCAGAGCCAACAGGAGTATCACAGACATGGTATTTGTTCTCAGACAACTGCAAGAGAAGTGTAGGGAACAGAATAAAGGACTCTATGTAACCTTTCTTGATCTCACCAAGGCTTTCGATACTGTGAGCAGAAAAGGTCTATGGCAGATTTTGGAATGTTTAGGTTGATGCCTTAAGCCCATAATGATTTTCTTATTTTTCTACCTTACAAGTTTTATAGGTAATAGAAGTAGATTTTAGAAATAAACCCCTTTCTCCCTCCTCCCCGTAGTATCCCTTAGTTTATATTCCTCAATCCTTTCACCCCATTCCATACTCCCTATATCACCCTATCCCCATATCTAGTAGAAAATATTTAGTCTTTAGTCAAGCCAGGCCTGTCTTGTTTGGAGAACGCTTGTATCTTGGCCTAAACCGCAGGACAGAGTCAAAGAACTGGGTCACTGCTCTCTGTACCCCGAAGAAGATGAAGATGATGAAGGGGGGGTCCCAAAAAGCACCCCAGACCCAATTCCGAGAGGCGGGCCACGGGGTGGACCAGGCCAAAAGTTATAGGGTGGACACACTTAGGATTGGCCAAATATTGTTATAAATGTAACATCCCGGGCACAGCCCGGCGCGCGTCGTAACATCTATTGCCTTGGCATAATTAAACCCTTTCTTATCTCACCCCAGCTTACGGCTCCTGAATTTTTTCGTAGCACCAGCTCAGCAGGCATCAAGGTTGTCCCCCCAAGTTCCTTAAAATGATCATCTTACTTCATGAGGATCAGTGCAGCCAAGTCAGATATGGCGATGCACTTTCTGAGCCCTTTCTAATAACCAGTGGTGTGAAACAAGGCTGCGTTCTCGCACCAACCCTATTCACAATCTTTTTCAGCATGATGCTCCAAAGGGCTACGGCAGACCTCAATGATGAAGATGTATCTACATTCGATATCATACCAATGGAAGCCTTTTCAACCTAAGGCGACTGAAGGCCCACACTAAGCCCTTAAATCATCTTGTCTGGGAGCTGCTTTACGCTGCTACTGCTGCCCTCGTTGCCCACAGAGAAGTAGCTCTGCAGCGTTTTAACATCCTGCTTTTCAGATGCTGCTGAGCTTTTTGGGCTGGAAGTCAGCTTAAAGAAGACAGATGTTTTCTGTCAACCTGCACCTCAGGAAGTCTTCCATCATCCCCATATCACCATTGACCAATCAGAACTCAAATCAGTCCAGTAGTTAAATTACCTAGGCAGCCTCATCTCCTTGGTCGGTAGGATCAGCAGAGTGATAGACAACAGGTTAGCAAAGGCATATAGAGCTTTTGGAAAACTCCATAAAAGAGTTTGGTGAAATAAACACTTGAAGAAGAGCACAAAGATCAGTGTTTACAGAGCCATTGTACTGTCTACTCTTTTATATGGGTCCGAATCATGGGTCATTTACCACCACCACCTGCAACTCCTAGAACGCTTCCATCAACGCTGTCTCCGTACAATCCTGAACATCCACTGGTCAGATTATGTGACTAATACATCTGTTCTAGAACAAGCAGCAGTCACAAGTATTGAGACCATGTTGCTGAGAACACAGCTGCGTTGGGCAGGACACATCTCAAGGATGAAGGACCATCGCCTCCCTAAGATCCTGCTTTATGGTGAACTTGCCACTGGCTGGCGCAAGAAAGGAGCCCCAAAGAGGAGATACAAAGACTTCCTGAAACAACATCTCAGCCTTGGCCATATTGACCTTCATCACTGGTCTACTCTGGCCTCAAATCAGGAGGCCTGGAGTCACACTATCTATAATGCTGCTGCTTCTTTTGAGAACACACACAGGATCACTCTCAAGGAGAAAAGACAACGCAGAAAGAATCGTGTATTGCCAATATTCTTTCCACTGTACCTTTTGCAACCGGACTTGTCTATCTCGCATTGGCCTCTTTAGCCACCAGCGCGCTTGTAACAAATGTGGGTAGAGCCCTTCCCAAATCTTCGTTCGCGAAGCCTAGCCATCATGATGATGAAGTTATGGTATCATATGTAGAGTTAAAAATCTCTTTTTTTTCTTCTTTGAAGAATGAAATAATTGGCCAAGTGGTTTAACATCCTTCTATCTTTTCCTCCTATTTCCCCTCTCTCTCCCTCCCCCCCCAGAACTCTGTGTGTATAATCCTTTCCTTCTTTTCTGGCAGTTCCCCTTTTCTGTAAACTGAATGTCAAAAAGGCATATATGTTGAGGTGACTGAAAACGTGAAGAACCACCTCTGTGGTCTATTATGTCCTCAGTTTGTATGCTACTGCTGGCTAATGAGGAAACAGATTTCAATCCTATTTTTGTGATAAATATAATCCCTTTGCTTTGCGTCATCTAAAGGAAATAATCTCTCTTAAGACACCATCCAAATGCTTTGCTCAAGACTTCCTCCTTTACTGGCTTTGTGAATAGGCACAGATGTTTTGATTCTAGCAGAATCTGTGATACCTGTAATTCAGACGGAAGTGCAACAGCTCTTGCATTTTTTAACAGGATGTAACATAACATTTCCTCCACGCAACACCGGGTTTGTTGGTCTGTATGAAAGTACCTTTGGCTTTCTATTGGAAAAGCAGGAACTGCTGAAGGTACCGGGAGCATTCTTTGCACATGCAGTTACTTCCACTAATAGCATTACTGGTTTAGGATAACAGAAGAGCCTATATCCCTTTTTCATTTGTTGAAATGTAGTATGTATTTGTTCAAGGTTTTTGCCCACGCATTGGAAACTGCTGGGTTTACACATTACAGGTCTTTCTAGCACTTAGTCAGATGCTGGCTGGACAGAGGACGAAAAGGAAGATGTGTGCTGATAAAGGAAGTCACCTATGGGCAATTTGTATGCACAGAGTATTGCCATTTGGCATAGAACTGAAGATTAAATACTACCACCGTGCTCTGTGAAATGGAAGATGTTGAATTTTGAATGTCTATAGACAATATTCAGTGTGGTAATTAAAAAATTACTGTCATACCTGTTTTTTAGGTGAAGTTTAGGTGACATGGTTGGGATTCTCAGTTATGTTTTTCAGAATGTCTTTGACAAACCTTTGCAGCATTTTAATATTGACCTGATCTTTGGGACCTAGAGACACTTGTGATATAAGTTGATGCTGAGGATCCTATGGATATTACAGCATCTTCTGAGAGTCATCTAGTGGGTTATGGAGTCACCAGTGTTTTCCATACATGCACTGTCTTGATACTACCTCTGATACCATCTTTATCTCCAGTCCTGCAAGAGAAGCAAGTCCCCCTGCTTCTCAATTTCCCCACCAATTACAGATGATAACCATAACAACCACCTTTGAAAAGCATTTCAATATTCACTGCTGAAGAATGCTACATAGCAGCTTAGCACTGTTATTGTTAAAGGAATGAATGCTACACCATGTTGAATGTGGAGCTTTTGGGGTCTTTTCATACTGTGATATTCTTTTTGTCCTGCCTGGTCCAGTCAAAGTGGAAGAGAAATGTTTACAACCATGATGAGAAAATAAAAAAGCACCACCCACCAAAGGAGGTTATTGTGATTTCTTTTCGCAAACTTCTGTTAGACATAGATGATAGTGAATTTGATCAAGATGGTGGGCAGCTTGCCTTGGGAAGTTCCCTAAAGTTTCTTCATTGTGTATTTTGGGCTTTCTTTGTTCTACAAGAATAATAATTAGGAATGTACATTTTATTATAAAAATAAAATGTTCAGACACCTGTAGCATTGTGTTAGGCTTATTTTAATCATGGAAACTGCAATAGCATTTTGGTTTTGTATATCTTTCCTTAGATATAGCAAGCATTCCTGTCCCACAGAACCTCAGTGGATATTCTCTTATACCGCTGCTATGTAAAAAGACTGAAAGTGAAGTGTCACCAAGAGGACCTCGGCCCTCTTGGGTGCTGAGTGAGTTCCATGGGTGCAATGTGAATTCTTCTGTGTATATGCTGCGAACTGGCAAATGGAAATATATTGTGTACTCGGATGGCTGTTCAGTACTGCCACAACTATTTGGTATGTTACAACTTTTATGTCCTGACTAACTCATTAATTTAATTAAATGCAGTCTTAACTGGCTTTTTGTTTGTTCCAGATCTCACTGCCGATCCAGATGAGCTAATGAATGTTGCCATAAAATTCCCACTAATTGTACATTCCTTGGACAAAATACTCCGTTCTGTAGTAAACTATCCAAAGGTTTCTTCTTCTGTTCAGGAGTATAACAAACGACAGTTTATCAGTTGGAAACAAAGTTTGGGTCAGAATTACTCAAGTGTTATTGCAAACCTTAGGTGGCATCAAGACTGGCTAAAGGAGCAAAAAAAATATGAGAATGCAATTGACGAATGGCTTGGGGAGTAGACGGAAACAACCTGGATTTAATATGACTGCGGGTATGAAAACATTATGCATTTGTAATATTATATTGTATTTCAAGTATTAGAATCATTGTCTTATATAAGCTATTGAAAGTAAAGATTCCCAAACAGTTACTGCTTTGTGTTAGGGAGCCAAGAGCATTTTATATAATGCCAGCATAACAAAACTAGTGTTTTACATGTTATTGTTCTGTAACACTTAAATGTACACAGGAAGGATAATGTGTAAATACTAATTGAGTGTATGGAATATTTAGCTGATTACAAAAATACAGAGTATTAAGCATTAAAACTCAATAGGAATTTCCATTTATAAGGACGGAGTAAAGATTATAAAATCTAGTGAAGTAAGCTACCAGTTACAGTGGAATTTGTCGGATTGATTATAGGTCCACATTAAACACACATTCATCCACTTAAGAGAAGCTATAGCAGTTAAAATATAATCAAAAAGTTAATAACGAGTACTGGTCTGAACATAGATGCAGTTTATTCAAGTACTTAACTGTGTCAGCATTCCTGTATCATATACATGACTCACTCTCCATCTTTTCAACATCTAACTGCTAACCTCTTGCTTTTACATCTGGTACTTACCACTCCCTGCTTGTTTAAAATTTCATAATGTGCATAGGCTCCTAATTGCACATGTGGAGGGGAATCTGATCTCTGGTCACAGTTGGAAAATAACCAAACTCAAAAATCCTCTGACCAAACCTGTGAGTGTTGTGGACGCCGGGAAAAGTATCACACGATCCCAGTATTGATCATGACTAATCCAACTTTATTGCTGTAAGCTTCGTGCTTATAAAGGTTAATAATTAGCCTCATACATATTCCAAGCATAGGCTCATCATTGGCTTCTAATTACCTAAGGCATATTTATGCAAATGCTGCTTCTTTCTCATGGCTATGGTTACATATTTGTTACTTAGCTACTTTCACTGTTTTTCCCATCCTGTTGTTTTATTCTTTCTATCACGTATGCAGTTTCTTAGACAATACAGCTTCACATCAAACAATGCAGGTTCACAAACACAGTGACCTTCTGATAGTTTCTCTGCTTTAGCGTGAGACCAGAGCTATAGAATCTTTCCTCTTTCTATTAACCAGGTTTCTACAATATTTACCACATGTGAGTAGAGTAGTTCTTTGAAAGGTGATAGTGTGATTTGCATAGCATAAGATGAAAACTGCATCTCTGTTATGCAGTTAGATTTTGCAAATAAATGCTTGTTAGGATCCAATTATTAAAAGATGCCTCTGCCTGAATTAAGATGCAAATGAGACCATGTACCAAAGTCAATAGTATGGTTTTATTTAGCAATAAATATGAGGTAGAGAGAGATAGAAATAGAAAGAGAGAGAGAGAGAAAGAGAGAGACAGATTAAGTAGAAAGATAAAGATAAAAATATCATCACCACATGGATTCTAACAGGGTCCCGCTGGTCCTTCTGGTCTTCTTGGTGATGATGGTCCCAATGTCGTGCTTTTTGGGTACTGCTTTTATGCAGTCCAAGTCCCGGATATTCACAGGGAGTCTCAGATGTTCCCACAACTTGGGATGGCATGAGTGTAAGCAGTTGTTTTCTTTCTCACAGCGTGCACAGTGGAATTTTGTCCAGTGTGCTAATTTCAAACCTTTACCTTCATTTATGTCTATAATTAATGCTTCCTTTCTCACCGTTTTGCACAGTGGGAATCTTTGTTCAAGTAGGTTACCCAGATCTGTCTTACCAGACCTGGTTCCTGTTGTTGCCATCTGCTCTTATCACAAGTTCCTGTAGTGGTGGCTTATCTTATGGAAATTTCCTTCTTTGACAGTGTTTTGAAACAATTCATGGCATTCTTTAAGTCCTGTCAATGCTTTAATGTGCATCAATGAGTGGAGAACTGAAACCTAAAATATAAACAGAGAAGGCAGAATTGAAGCTTACAGGAAGAGTTAACATAAAAATACTTTTTCACATTTTTCCAGGGATGTGATGAAAAACCAAAGTAGTTTTGGAAAGGTAGGATTTAGATAGTAACTCTTCTGCTTAAGGAGAAATATAATTATAGCAGCACTTAAGTTTGCTTATTCTTGATCACAGTGCTTGCTACTATAGTACCAATTCAGAATGACATTATACTTAATACAAAAATCCTTTTTTAAATCTGTAATTAAATACCTAGGAGTAGCAGTAAGCCAGTAAGCCTAAACATAAAAAAGACACATATTTTCTGATGGCTAAGCACTCCACGAGCATTCCATAAACAACTTACCACACTGGAATTAGGTATATACTGATGAGGGTTTTAACTATTTTCTGCTTTTGTGTCCACAGAACATTACTGCTAACCTTATACAACTTGCTGCTATGGCAGAATTTTATTTTTTTATTATATATTGTAGGCAAGGAGCAAACTAATAGTTAAAAAAGCCTTCAAACTCTGTAGCACATGCCATGATAAATCTGGTTGAGTTCAGATAGGGATGAAATTACTTAAAATAAATGGGCTGCATACTTTGAGAAAGTATTTATGTCCATATGAATGTTTGTTCAAAAGGGAGAAGAATAAAGAAATTGATCACTTTCCAGAGATCTGAACAAAATGCAGTACATTGTACAGAATACAGTAAAATAAAATTATGGTGAACTGGATGTATTTTGGGTGTTCTTTTTTTAATGCCTGAATGTTTAAAAAATTATTAGGGGAAATTGTATTTTGTCACTTCTGTGGACAGTGCTTTCTTTGAAGACATGAACTTTTAAGATGCACTAACGTTAGGTGTGGTAGTTTGGCCTAGACCTTCCTTGGTGACCAGCTTGTAACCAAGGAAGTGCCCAGATTTACCCGGTATTCCCTACGATTTTTACGTAAGCTGGGGTATAAGAAGAAGGGAGGAAAGACCTTCGCTCTCTTTCCTTCTGGCGGCTTTGGAGGTGCAGATTTCCCTGTTGTTGAGTCTGTCAGCTTGGAGAGTGAGGCCTGGTAAGGCCTTGTCGACCTTGGGAGGCAGAGGCTGCCGGCAGTCACCCCAGCGTGACTCTCCATTGACCCAAGGAAAGTAGTAAGATATTTTTTTGCTAATTCTTTTAGTTGATAGACCTTGGGCTACTGATCGGGTTAATATATATATATATTATTTTGGGTTTTTTTGTTCTTCCCTTCCCCTTTCCCTTTTCCCTGTGAAATTGTATATATATTTCAACTGTACATAACTGTAAATATAAGTGGAAATATATTTATATATATTGCTTTGTCTCTCTCTCGTTTTCGGTTCTTTTGGGTTTTTTTTCCCCTCTTCTCCCTTGGTTTGGGGTGGGGGGGACTCCTTGTGGTAAGGTTTGGAGACTTGGCAGGGAGCCAAGTGCCATTTTGAGATACTCTCTGAAATGGAAGAAAAATTGGAAAAAAGACCTTCTTGCAACTACATCTTGTGTCACAGACTATCTAAAGAAGCCCAGTGCATGTGGGCAGGCTTCCAGACTGCAGGAAACACTGGAGCTACCATGTCAGGAAGTAGGGATGCTTGTTTGCAAGGTGGTACTGTGGTGTGTGAGTCAACAAGCAGCAGATTGTGATCAGGCACTCAGTATCCCTACATTAGTACTTCTTGTATATAGTCTTCTTAAAATGCTTGTTTTAAAAGAAAATGTTGACTTGTTAAAAGAAAAACTTTGACTTTTGCAAGTTATTTGTTATTTATGTGTGAACCTTTGTTCTGAAGAGCAAGAGAGAGAAAGGAAAAGCCCCTTACCACCTTCTTGTATCTGTTTGCAATAAATAATATGCCTGTGTTGGTTTAGAACTGAACTAATTTAAGTGTAAAACAGATTGATTTAACAGTACAGTTTTATTCAGTTACTGTGTTAGTTATGCTTATGCATCTGCATTATTGTAACATTAATCAAATGAGGTGTGCAGCAGGCAAGGCTGGCCAGCTAACAAAGGAAAAAAATCTGTTTTTCAAACATGCCAAGTGAGTTATGCAGCATTAACACTGAAGAGAGACTGTGGAGTGAAAGACTGTGGCTGGAATGCCAACAGGTTCAAACTTATTGATTAGATGTATTCAGATCAACGCAGCCTTCTGAGACATACCTGAGGCTACCAAGAGCATTGGCCTGGTCAGCTTCTGCTGAGAGAGGTACCATTGTTCTGACGAACAAAAATGTATTTTTGTAAATACAAGGTCCTTGTGGTCACTAAAGACGTAAGAGACTGCCACTGTTAATTTGCCAAGAAATCATGTAAAAATAACACTCTGCTGCCTTTGTCAGGATAACTAGCTTAGCTGTTAAAAAAAAAAAAAAAATGGGTGAAATCCAGACTTTGAATGCACTTGGGCAATGGCCTATCTGATCTACTTTAATGTGGAAATAGAGTCTAGACAAAATTACTGTAAGTTAAGTTCAAAACTGGCTAAAATCAAGCTCAGTTGTAGATTCCAAAAATCAAAAAGTGGGAAGGCTGATAAATAATGTCTGCAAGAATTTTATGTAGTTCTGTTTTTTACTTCTTTAGTAAGTCTTTTACTTTTTTAGTACTTTGAATGCAGGAGTAGGCACCTTTTTCTTATTAAACATGAGCAAATGCACCTGGGGAGAGCTATCAACACTTCTGAAAATAGGGTAAAATTCAAAGTAGTCTTGATTAGCTGGATAAAATGATCTGAAATCAATAGGGTCAAATTCATCATGGCTTAGTTAAAGGTCAAAATAAAATGGAAATGGAAAAATACTAAAATTGTGAACAACAAAATGCCTACATTTCAGTTTTGCAGAACAAAAAGCCTCCCATGCCTGGACATTTGAGAGAAACAGAAGCGTAATATGTTTAGCATATTATGTTCAACAGTGATGTTCCTGGACGGGAGGTCGTGTGGCTGCTGCCCTCATGGCATGCAGGAGCAGGGACAGCCCCAGGGCCTGGGCCAAATGGGAGAAGCTGCAGCAGTGCCAGGGGTGTGGATACTTAATTTTGCCACCCATTTCCATGGACTTTGCTTGGCATGATGGAAGACTCTTCTTTCCCCAAGTGGTTTCTCCAGGATGGGTGAAGGGCATGTTCATCACATGAAACCTCATGGCTTGGTTGCTTCTCTCTGCACTGCAACCAAGAGAAAAGCATGTGTGTGTGGAAACCTTTTGCTGAAATCCTGATCTGAAATGTTCCTGTGGGCCTAGCTGGATTGTAGCACCCTAACATCAACTCTGATTATTAAACAAATCTTATCAAAAGATTAATTTTAGATGGATGAGGCATTTTGTACTGGAAAAAAATTACTTTTGACTTTATACAATTAAATACTACTCATGGCTAAATAGTCTTTGGACTGTTTTGCTATTGTCAGATCATTTTTCAAAATACAATGCTTACAAAATGCATAATTTGTCATTTTATCCTGGAAAAGTCTTCACCCACCACTTTTCCAGCAAGCTTTGCTATTTATCAGATCAGAACTGTGGGATGGAGCACAGTGGTTCCCATTCTCATTTTTTCTAGTATGCAGCTGATGGTGACTGAGACAGCGATGGTTTGGTAAAGGCATCCACTGCAAGCTGGAAGTATCTTGCAAAGGAGTTCAGAGGATGGAAAAAGTGACCTGGCAATGCAGCCTGGACATGGGAGTGATTTATGGCGCTGGCTAGCAATGCTGCTGCTTTGCAGCTGATGGTGACTGAGACAGCGATGGTTTGGTAAAGGCATCCACTGTGAGCTGGAAGTATCTTGCAAAGGAGTTCAGAGGATGGAAAAAGTGACCTGGCAATGCAGCCTGGACATGGGAGTGATTTATGGCGCTAGCTAGCAATGCTGCTGTTCCTGAGTCTGTGCCCCTATTGCAACTTCTTCTTCAGTGAGGAGACTGTGGTAGCTGTGGCAGGATTCAAATTGTGTGAACAATTTCTATTGCATTTCTGTA